TGTGACACTCTATGAAACAAGTTAAACCTATGTTTACTTATATATGAATCTTCCAAAAATCTTGTCATCTAACCAAATTCTAAAGCAAATACTGTCGCATAATTCCGACGTAGAATGTGCTATTATAGTAAATCTGATATCAAAGTAATTGGCATATAAATTCAGCAACAGTGTCATGATTGAAGTATATTCAAAAGTCAGAGGGTCCACTGTGAGAAAAGGTTTTTTTGGAACTTAAGTGAAAAAAAAATGAATGTAAAAAAATACTAGTTGCTCTATATGATCCGGCAATCATGAGAGGAAATGTATGAATTGCATTAATCATAACTCGCTTAGGAAAAATAAACATTTTTGTGGTGAACATGAAGACCGATTTTTATCGGGTTTTAGAATTTCGTTTTGTAATCGTTTAAAGTACTTACATCTACATTTATAGTAGAATTGGACAATTTCTTGCCTGTCAGTTTTACGCTTCCAAAGCATCTCGATTTTCATCACCTTCTTATGTTGTTTTGACTATTTTGCAACAAAATAAATGATATGTGCAGGTATCAAAATAGATCTATCTTGTAGCAAATTTCATAACAAACAATTTCATCAGTAATAGTTTTTTCTGTAAACTGCATATTTAAGAAGTTATGTTGGAAAATGTTAGAAAAACACGTCATTTTTGAGTATTTTTGCATTTTTAATTTTTTCTGCAAATAGCACAACTTTTTTTCTTGGCGCAACCTTATATTTTCATTGTATATATTATTTTCGACCGATTTTTACTAATATCTAAATTACGTCAAGCAACAGCCATGTCAATGTGTAATTCTCCTGGACTAATATTAAATTTGGTAATTTCAATGTATGTTCTCTTGTCTTCTGTTGTACCACCTGAAGTTGTTGGCATTCCTAGGTTTAAATTATTCTGTCACAATCATACTGGTGGTAAAGGAAGAGTAGCTGCTGCATTTCCAGTGATTAATTTTCATACGAAATTACCTATAGATATTGATATTAAAAATAAAAAATAATGGGGAAACTGTTCTATTAGGTACACTTTACAGGCCTCCACATTGTAATACTTCACACTTTACAAGATATAGAAACGTAATATACTTAATGCTTAAATTAAATTATAATCTGTCAATATTTTTATTGGTTTGTTCAGATAGTTAATGAACCAACGCATTTTACATTACCCTTCCTTCCCTTCACAAGAGAATCAAGAGATATACCCTATAATTTTTAAATAATTAAATTTATTTAATTGTTAATGTATTTTGCTAAATACCACTAAATACCTTAGCATTAATACTGCTGAAATAAGAGGAGAAAAGTAATACTACGTTTAAAGTGCACTATAACGAATTTATTTAAATTTAGAATCCCGGGCATAGAAACTATTTAAGATCGTCTATGATCGGGATTCATTTTGTAATACGAAATGTTGTCTGTAATAATAATGTATATTGTGTATTCTTTGAATAAAAAAAAGTTGACGCGAGATTTTCAATGACCCACCCGTTCCTTTTAAATGAGATTTGGTGGATTTTGCTGAACCCTTCCCCTCCCATTTTGAGCCCTCGTAATTAATGGACGTTCCTTTACAAGGAGTTGTGCAATTTTGCCCTTGTCTCACTAAGTAGAGAAAAGTATGCATATCTAAGCGTAATCAACAGCATGCTCTCCCTGATCAGTGGACCATTAAGAAAATCGAATTTTCCATAAAATGTCGCTAATTCTATACCAAAATTGCTGAATAATAGCTCATTGATAAATATTTCCTTAAAGCAGCTTCAAAACCACATAATTTTTGTTGGTATTTGATAACATGCCTATGAATAGCTTAATGCTTGACATTATTTATAACAATAAAAACAATAACACATGTATATTCAGAAATTTTACATATATAAATAATATGAAGTTTAACTCTTCCAGTTGTGGTGCTCCGCTAATATGATCAAATTATATTACTCATTTATGTCACTTATCTAGTAAATTGTTGCTTGGAAAATGGTTATTTTCCAATTACATGGAATGAATCAATTTTACATGCTATTCCTAAAACTGTCATTAGTAAAATTCTGGAAAAAGTAGTTTATTTTGAAATGAAAAATACTTATCCACACAATATCTACCTGTTCATCAATTCAGTTTCCGATCTAGTCATAGCACTGCTGCAACATTATTAAATATTATAGATAATATTGTTTGCACAACATCATACATTATTACTGACCAAGATGGTTTTGTTGCAATTACTGTAAGCTTTAAGCAATCGTACACAAAAATTTAAACAAGTGACGGTATATCAAGTGCTGGAAATGTCAAATAATGAATACCCCAAGGGTCTTGGGACCATTTTTGTTTGTCATATACACAATAAAGATTTTGCGTTAATTAATGTATACAGTAAGTTATTATCTTAAATTACATGCTGAAAAAGTGACTGCTCTATTACGTTGTTCACTTATGAAAATCTTAAATGTAATATAACAATAAAACTAAGTGGCACCTACCTCACTTTTCACAGGTCATGTAAATTCATTATTAAAATAATCATATGTTTGTCTAAAATGGCTTTTTCATAATAAACTTTAAAGGAAAAAATTGTGTAAAATATTGCCTATATCCTACGCATTATTGCTTAGCAATGTATTATCGTTATATTAGTGATAAATAAGTAAAAGTGGGACTTACCTAGGCATAACCCCGGCACAGGTACCTGTAACAAAGATGCCGACGGCCTCTATGCTTAAGCCGGGGATTAGGTCGGTGGTTAGGAGGAAAGAAAGGTATTCTTTCCAGGTAGCCTTAATAAAGGCAGGTAGAATTTGCTCCTTGCACTACACTTTCACAATACACGTAACGTAACACGTAACGACGGTGGCGCGAGCGAAGACCACCAGGGCTAGGCTCTATCCCTTACTCAAAGGTGGAAACACCCTCAGTTTAAGGAATAAGCGAACGCTTATCAAGGTGGTACTTCAACCGCAGCTAACCTACGCCTCCACGGCGTGGGGTCACGCGGCAAAAAGCCACTTAAAGTCATTACAGGCTGTGGAAAACATAGCCCTCCGCACGGCCACCGACGCGCCCTGGTACGTAAGAAACACTGACATATTACGAGACTTACAATACACAAACGCTACACAGACAATAAGACAAAACGCGGAGAAACGATTTGACGTAGCCGCT